TCACTCCATGTTGACAAACTGCCTTTTGTTCTCGTACCAAGTAGGAATGCTCTCGTCGAAATAGAAATAGGTAGGGCAGATCCTTTGTTCATTAGGACGCTGGTTTATCTTAGTGACTCGGTCATAGTGATCAAGCCAGTTTTCTACGTCTTCATGTGCGCCACCGCGAAAGTGATGAGGCACCAGTGGTGAAAAAAGGGTTACCTGAGCTGAGGTCAGAGGACTACTGTCTCGAAGTACCTGTTGTGGACTGACAGTGGCCATTGGTAGAGGTGAGTGGTGACCTCGAGAGGGCTGCTGCGAGGGGGTGAACTCAGAAGTCAGGAGGGAGGCCTCGCAAGCGAAGACTGACGCGATGCACGGGAGTTTCGATAAGTGCTTCCGGGTTGAATGAACGGCTCCCCATGGGAGTGTGGGGAATCAGGCGGGGTCGCGGTCCTGCACCGCCACCAGTGTCGCGGTGTAGCAAGAACTGAAGATAGAAAGAACTTCCAACAGTGAAACAGCGTGTTTCAAAATCAGCTGTACGCAGAACGCCTTCTTCGCCTTCCTTTCACAAAACCTACAACCCCCCTACCCAGAGTCTGCAAACTATTTCCATCGTCGTTCTCTTCTACGAATATACACGTGTCAATATGCACCTTTGTACTGAACATATAGTTAATGACGTGAGTACTAGAGTCCGTGCTAAGTTGAATATGTCATCATGCTTACGTAAATTGAATTAAGTGTATTCGCACCTTTTCTTTTGATTTCTTCGCTTTCGGGAGCTTCTTCGAAAGACCAGGCAACACAGGCACATCCGCAGGTGGCGCTTCTGATGCAGCCGGGATATCTGCTGTCTGCAAAGGCACTACCTGGGCCGTCGCATGTAAATGAATGACAAAACTTGATGTAAACTGCTGTGCGGAAATAAAGACACTGACCCGCAGGTCGCGGGATTGAATACCGACTGCGGCGGATGCATTTTCGACACAGGTAAAAATGCTGTAGGCCCGTGTGCTGAGGTTTGGCTGCATGTTAAAGAACACCACGTTGATGCTATTTTCAGAGCCCTCCACTACGTCTCTCATAATTATATATGATAGTTTTGGGACAATAAACCCCACACACCAATGAATAAAATAAAGACGGACAAAGAAAACATGAGACAGATACAAGCGCAAACTCTCAACTCAATTTTGTTATTCTTCACCTTTCAAATGTATACTCACGAAAGTAAATATGTACGTGGTGACATGGTAAAAACTAGACAGCCTAAGTCGTGCAGAAAAATACGCTCTATCAAGTAAGGATATTGACAGGTTGCTAACACAAACATCACTTCTTGAAGAAATATAAAAGGCGTCAATTAGTTCGCAGCTTGTGGTATCACTGCTCCTACACAAAATATTCATCTCTCTGAAAATAGGTGAGTACATGCAAGCTTGGCAATGCGTTTGCAAAAGCGTGTTTCCATTATTTCTAAGTGAAAGCTCAGGTTCCCTTGCACGATCGTTAATGCAACGCCCCGTATGGCCAACGTAAGATTTTCCTCAAGAAGCAGTATTTCATATATTTTACATACAAAAAAGCATGCTGCTTTCCGCAAACGCTGGATTTCTTCTCATCAGAGAAGAATACGGCGATGGTGCTCTCCATCCTGAGTAAGCTGGCTGGCCTTTGTCCTAGAATCTCTTGTGGCGATAAGAAAACCAGCGGTTCCAGCAAGAAGCACGCTTTTGCGTATGTTAAATGTGTGATTGGCGTCATCTATGAAATACCGCTGTCTTGTGGAAGATATTACGTAGGTCATGCAGGTCGTTGCGTGAACAAAGGTGCAAGGAAACATAGGCATTACTTAAAGAAAGAATGCGCAATTTTCCAAGCATTGACCAGCTTGCATATGCTCACCAATTTTCAGAGAAATCAATATTTTGGGTAAGAGCGGAGATACCGCAGCCCACAAATTGATGGAAGCATTTTATATTTCTGCAGCAGGCAATGCTTGTGTTAGCGACCTGTCAATATCTTTATTTAGAGTGGGCATAATTTTCTGCGTAGCTTCTTCTGAGCTGTTTGGGTTTGATGTGACCACGTGACTATGTTCTTTTGTGAGTATATGCTTGAATGGTGATGAATGATGAAATTCAGCTAAACGTTTGCGCTTCGCCCTGTCCCATTTTTTCTGTGCCCTTGTCCTTATTTGCGCACACCAGTTTACCCTGAATTCCGAACCAAATCGGCCAGAAACAACCTTTACTATATCACCGAAACGGGGCATTGTGACATATGAACCTCAGTGCTAAATTTAATTAAGGTTAATAACGGCTGCCCTACAGCCCATGCTAAATTGAATTTGTCATCATGCTTTCGTAGTCTGATTCAAGTTTATGCGCACCTTTTCTTTTGATTTCTTCGCTTTCGGGGGCTCCTTGGAAGGATCAGGCAATGCAGATACATCCGCAGGTGGCGCTTCTGGTGCAACCGGGACATCTGCTGTCTGCGAAGGCATGGCCTGGGGTGTTGCACGTAAATCATAGACAAAAAACACGCTATCTATTCTGTGCCAAGGTCTGAGCACACCTGACAATATTTCGGTAAATGTTAGCGCAAGATTGTGCTACGTTTTAATAAAAGCTGTGTACCTGCAGCAGGCGTCCCGGAAGAGCTCGCGATGGACTCTTGAAAAGCCACGGACTCAGTTCACGTTAGAGCTGTGCTGCGTATCCAGCCTTTCTAAGAGGTAGTTAAGAAATGATTACGTCACTTAGGAAATCGAGCATGGGAATGAGTGAATGAGCGCGGAGTAAACGAGTTCGTACGGCTACCTGCAATCGGGGAATCGGGAGTACGTGAGCGTCGTTTTATACCCGCTATTCTACAATTTGTCAAACTCGCCTTATTGCAAGATTTTTCAGATCAAGCTACAGAGAAGCGTGGTGGCCTCACGTAGAACAAGCTTTTCGTCTCTGCCTTTTTCTCCATCGATGTGCACCTTTTTCATTCGTTAGTCGGCATCAGTAATGTTTCGTGTTCTCTCTTGTGTTCGTGTTTGCGAGCCCTGTCTTTTAAGCCAGTAACGCGAGGAGTACCAACATATGTAATTCTGCGTGGTAGAAGCACGCCAAGCGTTGAAACATGAAAATTGCTGGTCGAATTATCGTTTTAAAGGCTCAGCCATGGCTCGGCGCGTTGCTAGAATTTTTTCGGTGAGAGAGAAAGGGGGGTTCCCTCCTTGTTTTTGGGTGGTGGGGGGCACCTCCATGAAACGGTTCTTTTTCGCACTCCATGTAATTTTGAGAAAAAATTGGGCGGGGCGGGTGTGCAGGTTCTTCGCTATGCCCCTGGTTATGGCAAATCACAGATACATATTTATTCACTAATCACTAACCAAGTGAGCACCTGCGCAGGTTTGCGAGATGCCTCATACAGACGTGTAGAGAATACTTCGCTGATTCCCAAAACGAAGCATTTTGCGTAGCAGGCAACTGCGTTTAAAGTAGACATTGTAGGGTAGCTTTAGGCAGCCAGTGGTACTCCAACAGACGTTCTTTGCACGTGACTCTCTTGAGGTGTTCAGCTAAAGGCGAGTTCAAGCTACCGATGCAAAACACGACTTAAAGGGCACCCTATTACGTTATCGCAATGTGCCCTCGAAGGCTAAGTTGAAGGGTCCTCCAACTTTCTTATTTGTAGTTCTCCTAAATCTTGGAGAGGTTAAGTTTTGGAGCAGCGTACCTGGCGTGCAATATGCGAGGAGCCGGTGTACACAGGTTCTCTTAGAGTATATTGGTCGCAACATGGGTATGACCAAGTGCAAAAACTCAATAAGCTAGGCAATGAGATAATTTAAAAAAAACAACGTGGCAGTTGGACTAGTTGGTGAGCCCCAGAAGTAAATGCGTTGCGCACCAAATTAACAGTGAGAGAAACACAACTATGCATCCGATGTGCTTGTCGTCTTCCATGTGCAGTTAAGAAATCGAAATTAAGGTCTTGAGGTTTTTAACGCCAAAGCCAAGATACCCTCGCAGGAAAGGCCTGTAGTCGGTGACTCTGCATTGCTGGCCCAAATTTAGCTTGTTTGGCTTTATATATATTTAAAGTGCCACTGGTGGCAAATACCCGCTCTAATGTGGGTATGTGCCACAGGGCACGCGAGATGGGAGATGGCGGTACTTGGAGTGTTCACTAGAAGGATGCACGGACAGACAGGCTAGCAGACTGATAGACGAATGGACGGACGCGCAGACGTACGGACGGGTGGATGCACGAACGGACGGACAGGCGGATGGACGGACTCAAAGATGGATGGACGCATGGACAGACGGACGGACGCATGAATGGACACCTGAATGTATATCGTATGACCATATGAAACCAACCACGTTCCGAGGAACAGCGGTAGTATTTGTAGATTTTCTACAGCAACATATACTGAAACCGCTCACCCTTTATTTTACGCACCATAGAGCCGTCATAATGAAGGGACCTCGCAAGCCGTCCATCGTCTCTAAGAACAAACAAAAGTTGATTCTATATATATACGCACATAGTGTTTCTCGTGATCTCTCTAGATTATGATCGACTGGGCGAATCACTCACGGAAGATTAACGGTTACACCGATGATTCTATGTGGAGCTTCACCCACTCGCCATCATTCACCCCGTGGATGTGCTGTGATTTTTTTATTTCTTCATTGGTGAAATACAGTGAGCGTGAAAGAAAAAGCTGTACCCGTGCACACGTACTCAGCAGATCAGGGGCGTAGCTAAGGGGTGGCACTCTAGGCCCGTGCACCCCTCGCAATATTTTTTGCCATAGCACACAGAACACATGACACTTAACCAAATCTGCCTGAACAAGCCTACTTTAGATCAAAGTAGCTCCCCCCTGCCCAGCCCTCCCCCCTTCCTCCAAGCATTTTCTGGCTTACGCCCTTGCAGCAAACAGTTTTGATTTTACACTCAGTATGACACGCGTCATAAACACGGTCTGTAATCGTCTTCGAGCTCACCTTGCCTACCTCTGGAACTGGTGACTTCTTCCGTTTCGTGACCTTCCTGCCGTCCTTGAACTTGGACGAAGAGGCCGACTTCCGGGACGAGGAAGACTTGGTGGCTGCAGAGGTCACGCTGGCCTTCCTCGCGTCTGCAATTTCGTGGTCCATGTGTGAAACTCGCTGGACTTCACAGGTCGACGGCTGGAAGACGGTGATGCGGACAAGCGTCTTACCCACAAGATTCACAGGGCTTCTTCTACTTTGCCTTCCTTTTCGTCGCGTGCCTCCTGCGCAGTCAGTGTTGTTGTTGCTGTTGTTGTTCTCCTATTGTTAGTGTCGCATACCCACTGTGGGGGATTGGCCAAGAATCGAGTGGCTTTAAAATTTACTGTTCAGATTTAGAATGATGGAGGTATAACAGAAAGATTACCGATAGCTTATAGGCAAGTGTGGTGCTTAATGTGATGCATAGAAATATTTACATAAACAAATTTATTCTTAGAATAGAGCAATAATCTGATTTTATACGTATTAATTATGTGGACATGTTAAGATAATGAAACTGGTTAATTAGTCAACCTATTAGTTTCATCAATATAGTCCCGGACGGCCGCGCATACTGTGCCATTAGAGAAACCAGAAATGGAAGCTCCAAAAGACAAAATGACATGCAGAGATAAGTCCATACCAATGCTACGCAAAGGTACTTCTAATAGGGTTTTTCGCAATCTGTTAAACCGCCTGCAGGTCAAAAAGAAATAGTCTATTGTTTCAAGTTCATCACAGAATGCGCACAGTGGCGAAGGTGCCTGAGCAGACCTGTGTTTATAGAAATTTAGATTTGGTACCCGGCAACGCAGCCTTGTGATAGCTACTTCTTGCTTTCGAGTGCGGCAAAAGTCTCTTCGCCAGGGATATAATAAATGGCGATATTCTGTAGAGTTTGTTAGTGCTGAACCTTTAAAGACTTGCATAAGCGTACGTCCGCGGAATCGAGCAGCAGTCACATAAGTGGATGATGGACAGAGCGGTAGAATTGGTTCGCTGATTGACGACTTAGCTAAGGAATCGGCTATTTCATTCAGAAGCAAACCTCTATGTCCAGGCACCCAAACTAATCGCACTTTTCTCAAATGCACAGGTACTAGTGCACGGAACGCCGTTGTTACGTGATTATCAGCACCAACAGAAAGTGCTGCACAGAGAGATAGGGAGTCTGTTATTATGACAGCTGATGTAATTGCTGTATCTAACTTGCGTAAGGCGAGCACTACTGCCAGAAACTCAGCCACAAAAACGGGTATGAAATCGGGTAGTCGAAGGGAATAAATCCATTTTAAAATCCGGCTGAAAATACCAACCCCTGACTTTTCGTCGTATTGCGATGCGTCTGTAGCAATAATAACGTTCGTTGTAGTATGGCGCAGGTGATCTTATAGTAAACCATCCAAAATATTATGGGGAAGTAATTTGGCATTATTAGAAAAAAGTGAGTGTTGCCTGAAGCTATGGTGATGGTTATGATATCGATGATCACGGATTGTAGCCTGTACCCACTTCACTAGGCAGATCCGTAAATGGAGGAGAGATCTTTGCAGAAAAGAAAAGGAGTTAAGTATTGGTCATGTGGGGTACTGTGTTTAATTTCGAAGAGTCGTAACCAGCGCATATTCTAACAAGAAATATGCCACAGAAGTTTCAACTATGAGGCCGTTTAAGCTGTCATTTCGAGGATGGAGAGTGTAACACAGCAAATATTCTTAACTACAAAAAAAAATGAGACACAAGACCTACAGAACAAACGCTTCAGTGTCTTTGCCTCTTTTTTCGAAGTGTTCTCCGCAGGGGCGTCTGCGAAAGCAGGCGTTTGGCGAGTGGGGTCACCACAGTACTGAGCTAACAGGGGCAGGGTGTTAAGACAACGCCTGCTGGTTGCACCGGTCCCCTGGGTACGTCAGATTTCACAGAAACCCTCCCAGAACATTAATTTTTAAATACAACAAATTGTTGCCGGTTATACAGGTGAGATGAAAAACATTTATTCATTATTCATTGAGATAGTTTTCATTCCGACAGCGCAAAAAAGAAGGCCAGAAACTTTCCACCCTTTCTTGTGCTCAAGTGCTGTATCAACCCACCAGGTGCGGTCTACGAAGCTAACAAGACCGCCAGTGGTGACCTCGTGTTTGAAATAAAGGAACACGCACAGTACCAAAGACTACACAACCTTAAAGTTTATGGCAATCAGCCCATCACTATCACACCGCACTGAACATTCAACACCGTCAAGGGAGCCGTGTCAGACGATGATCTGATGGACATTACTGAAGAAAAGTTTTTGAGAGGCTGGAAGGATGAGAATGTCATCCAGGTGCAACGCACAACAATTAAAAATAGAATAAAAATGTTCTGCCAAACACCTCATCATTAAGTATGAATATGCAGCGCTCTCGGCTGAAATAGCAACTGGATACCTCAAACTTCCCGTAAGACCTTACTTACCCGACCCGAGACGCTGCTTTAAAAACCAGTGTTTGTGACATGGTGCCCAGAGTTGCCGAGGCGTGCTTACCTGAGCCGAATGTGGCACATTCTTCTGACGATGACAACAAAACCCAAGTTCACTGCGCCAGTCGTTATTGAGACCACCTAACATATTAAAGATCCTGCAGAGCCTGGAAGAGGGAAAAATTATTGCTACGAAAATTAAACTGGACATCACTTTTCGTTAAGCAAGGCAGCGTGTCTCGCCGGATTTTGCAGAGAACAAATATGCTGGAGTGGTGCGAGAGAGGTCAGCACCCATACTGCTTTCGGTGATGCCCTAGATGACGCCTGGCGGGCCGAAGCAAACGCCACCAGCCCCCATGGCGGGAGCAGCCACAGTTGTCCCACCCTTCATGACTAAGGCACCACCAAAGGCCCCTGCAAACTCTGGCACCAGTCAGAATAGAACGCCAACTAAGGAGGTCATATCGACGTCCTGCCAGGTGGGGTCGAAGGCTCTGTCTATCGTGACGAAGCCTGCCATATGCACATGACCATATGGCGCCCCTCCAGAAACAATGGGCACAAGTGGTTCACCGGCGCAGACTGCGCCGAATGAGTTGCGACATCCTCTCTGCCACTCCAAAAAACACAAAACACTAATTACAGAGCCTTCCAAAGGCCCTGTAAAATCAGTCACTTTTATTTTTTGAGGCAACAGTCACTTTCTTCTCATACACACAGCACTTCTCTTTTCCTGGCACAAGTATACGCAGTTTAACATCAGAGGACTGCTTAAGACTCAGAGAGGACCGAGATAATGCTGTGGCTTCATCTGGCGGCGTGGCTATTGTAGTTAGTCAAGGTTCTTGAGGCAGTACTGGTTTGAGCGGTTCTTCTGAATGAACTCGTCACTGTCACATGCTTCCACAGTGCCATCTTCAAAAACACGAATTCCAGTCGTGAATAGATGAACTACTAGAACTTTATATGGTGCTTGGGGACTTGAATGTACATAGCTGTTCATTGGGGGATTTTAGCTGCGACAAATGGTGTTGCCTGTTGCCTAATTGAACAGTTCTGGTTCTCTTCCAGTGCATGCCTAGTGGATAAGAAAGAACCTACAGACTGTAGCCTCAAAACGAAACGTAGTCATCTATAGACCTAAGCATTAAAACTCCATCACTTCGCTCCCCCCCCCTTTCAGTGGAAAGCAAATAATAATCCTTTCCTAAGTGACCACTAGTTCCCAGCTCACGACTATCAAATCAATATCCTCCACAGGTTTCTAGATGGCTCACACATAAAGCTAATTGGGAAGAGCTTCCACAGTACACTCTTTTAACCTGGGCTGACATTTGTGTGACTGCTGTGAATTATTTTTTGATTGGCGCAGCAAGCAAATGTATTCCGCAAACAGGTGGACAGACAGGTAAACGGCGTGTCCCATGGGAAAATAATTAGTGTCAAAGTGCGCGCGAAAAAAACAAAGCATAGAGGTTGTTACTATACTCACTTACACCAGAAAAATTTGACAAATCCAAGAACATAAAGTCCTAGAGAAAAGGACGCGAAGACAAGCCAAAAGGGAGAGCTGGCGGAAACATTTAACGGGCATTATTCTATATAGAGTTGAGGAAAGATTGGGGGAAAATGGCAAGTAAGGTTGCAGGATGGTAATCATACTCACTTCCCTTAGTAAACACACAAGACGAAACCTTGGAAGGCCAGGTGGCTTCTCTCGGCGCACACTTTGAGCAGGTCTCCATCACGTCGCACTATACATGGTTCCAACGATATAACATATTAAGCGAAGAAGAGAAGCTAGAGTGGAAACACACAAATCACGAAGCATATAATGAGCCTTTTGTGTTAGCCGAGCTACAGGAATCGCTAAACTGCAGCAATAAACCCGCCCCAGGATAAAATGTTACTACACCTGCCCTCTGAAACCCGAACAGCCCTGCTTTCTCAGTATAATATGACTTGGTGTTCCGGCGAGATCTCCTCGGCCTAGCTGTTTTAAAATTGTGGTTTTGCAATGTCTTGGACACCATCGCCATCGCCTTGCAATGTAGAAACACCATCGCCATATCTGTCGATGGTGTTTCTACCTTTGCCCTCGTCGACACAGGTGCTGCCGTTACTGTTATAGCCGCCCAGCTCTGCCGCTTCCTACGAAAAGTGACCACGCCGCTCTCTGGAATATCGCTTAGTACGGCTAGCGCACAACCAGTTCGACCTCTCGGCATCTGTACGGCCCGCATATTCATCCAAGGCTCTATGCACGTTGTGTAGTTCATCGTCCTTTCGGTGTGTTCGCATGACGTTATCCTCGGGTGGGACTCTCTGTCACATCATCATGCCGTCATCGACTGCGCACGCGCTCAAGTTCAATTTTCACACCTGCGTGATGAACTTTTGCACAAAACTCGGTCGCCAAAACTCGCCGTGCGTGAGGACACTGAAATTCCGCCAGCCTCTCTTGCCGTTGTCCCTGTTTGCTGCGATGACCATAATGATGCTACACTAATGTTTACACCTTCGGACATTTTCATGACCCGCAGAGCCGTTTCCTTGCCTATCGCTACATTTGACATCACTGCTGGCCGAAGAAATATTTTCGTCCACAACTCCCTTTCTACACCGCTTACGCTACTTGCCGACGAATGTCTCGGTCA